TATCTCCCAGATACAAATGACGCTAGTGTAAGCCAGAGTTATTTATTCTGTGGCCATAGCAAGCGCTAAGCATGTGTGCGTGCCGTGCGTTGGAAAAACTGGACAGTTTTTGTTGCATCGCTCATTGCGTGACGTGACGTAAATAATCTAAGAATTTATGTTAGTCACCAGGGCTGAACGCATACGGAACCCTACTTTTGAAACAAATAACACCTCGTAAAAACGGGTGTTCTAAACTGACTTGACACTATGGTGCTATTTTAAACTAGTGTTTATTATAATTTGGGCAGACATAAAAAACGTGAAATTGCAAGGTTTCCTCGCTCAAATTGTATAATATTCGTTCGTTACTTGAAATAAAAATTACTTCTTAAAAGTTAAAAGTTGTTCGTTTCCTCCACCATAATAATAATACAAAGTTTTTAATTTTTTCTCCAAAATTACACATAATGGTTCTATGTTAAGTTTTAGTGTAGTATTTTTATATAATAAGAGTTATAAATAAGCATACAGTCTACTTAATGGTAGGTGAATCACGAAGCTCATAGAAATCTACATTTGTCTTTGATTGAAAATCATAATGAAGATGCATTGTAACCCCTGAGGGTTAAAATGATATGCCTCGATTTCGGTAAAATGTGTCCAGTTTTTTTCACTCAATATACGAGCCACAGAAGCATTAATAGATTACAAAGACAAAGTTAAGATTTTCTAATTTTTGAAGTCGGCTAAAAATACAAGACCTAATAACTGATTAAAAAAACACTATGTTAATAAAACAATAGGTCGAAATTAAGCACAAAATTATCGATTGGGATTAGTTTATCTAGATCGACCTCTGATGCCAGTTACGATAAAATGGTTAATTGCTCTTAATCACGCGAAAAGTATTAGACAGTCTTAATTACCATGCGAATAAATTTCGTATAATATTACTTCAATACAGAATAATGATTTAACCTGTAGGTAACGATATAAATTCCATGTAAAATGATTCGGACTCGATTAAGTAGATATTTATTTAGTGTCTTCTAATAAACATGTAAGATGTATACTGTACATTTATCAGCACCGACCACACGCGCCTCTTTCCAGTATCAAATCTGTATAAATTCTGGGTATTCGCCAATTCATTTATTATCTACCGCCGCGCCGCAACCATTAGGCAAATATTTATTTAATTACTTCTAAGCATAAACGCTGCTGTAGCTCAACAACGGCACTCAGTTCTTGATGAAAGACTCTTTTCCTGCCTAGAAATCCTTCAGGGTAGGTACCACCCCTCACCTATTTCTACCATCAAGCAACAATGCGTACACTGTGTTGTGCTCCGGTCTAAAGGGTGTAGAGGTCCAGTATAATTATAATCTGTGACATTCTGTCTTAGTCCTCAGAAGTGAAAACGCGTCTGCAGCCTTTTTTATTTCAAGTTTGTTACAGATGTCCATGGGCTAACTGTAAGCGAAACTGTTTCATCAAACAGTTAAGATATTATGCCTAATCGACCGACATTTTATCTCCTTGTATAATTTTATTTTTCATACTTTTTCGTTGAAATTTTTTGATAACGATTGCTTAATGAAGACAATCTAATGAACCTAATGTCAAAGAAAAACGTCCATAATAATATAATTATTCATCTAATTTCTTGCGTTGTAGGAGGATATGTGGGCGGAGTTTTGTTCGTACAAACGTATTACTCTGTTTTCTCTATAATAATGAGACAAGAGCAAAAACTTCTTTACGATACAAGCTATATCTAAAATAATGAATCAATGTTTGTCTTGTGTATGTTTTCTTAATCTTTATCTACCACTGCTATGTTTTTTTTTTCTTCAAAAATTAATTGATTGAAAAATTGAATGAATTATTATAAAATTAAGTTATACCTTAGCGCAATGTTTTAAAATTACAAACTTAATTTTGCTCAAGATGTTTACTTTTATCGTCGATCACTTGAACACTTAAACTGCAACAAACAATTACATAATTGCGGACGAGGTCGCACTTTGCTCGTTCACGTAATCCTTTATTATGTTGTGTTATTTTAAGGTAACGGTTTATCAGCAAAGGTACAACAATCGATCAAACAGACGAGCGATCTAATATTGCGCCTGGTTTAAATCTGATGGGTATCTATCTATTTGAAGCTATAAGATCTTATTGGCATTTCTCATAGCCGCGTCTTGCGACAATTACTGGACGAAATGGAGATAGATTCTCTTGTTTTGCCAATAATACACGGTACCACAGAATAAGTAAATGGCAACTTTGAGTATTGATTTAATAAGTGCTCGATCATGAAAGAAAATATCTTATACGAATCGACAGTAAGATCATGTGAATTCTGATATAACACGCATTGGGATAGCACGATGGATTCTACCTGAAAAAATCGCATCTGATGTGAATTGCCTGGAACGTATGCAGACGGTCAATTTACTTTTTATATTTTGTGCTAACAAGCTACATTATCAGGCGTGAGTGTCCACCGACAAGATGACATTTCGATGTTAAGTTTTGTTCACTTATGACTTCTAAGTTTTGACTGTGTTCTCGATATAATTCAGGGGTTCTCTATCCGATTGATTTTTAATACTTTATTTGTTTTTATCTTACATCCCCATTAAGAACTTCTTCGATATCGTAGAGACGTTTTTCAATGATGATTGTACAATAAAAAGCAGTCAAACCCGCAACAATTGTTTCGATCATACATGACTTGTTTCGTGTAGGAATTGAACTCGCAGCACGCAACCTCACAATTTAGTACGCTACTAAGCCGTTAAGCTTTAGCTAAATGTTCTGGCTTAAAAGAAAATACCGTCAACATATCAAATAATTAGAGACATGAACACTTCTTCTATATACCCACTTAAGAAAAAGAGATAAAACTGAGAATATATTATCTGACGAATAGATATATCTTTAAATTTTATATAATAATTCCTAATGTTCATCATCATTCATTACAGCCCTTCACAAGTCCACTGCTGAACATAGGCCTCCCCCAAAGAATGCCACAAAGCACGGTCCTGAGCCACCTGCATCCATCGACTTCCTGCATGTCGTACCAGGTCGTCACTCCATCTCGTGGGGGGACGCCCTACACTTCGCCTACCGGTACGAGGCTGCCACTCGAGAACCTTTCTTCCTAATTCCTAATGTTGTGTTTTCGCAAATAATGTATTCTGATAAAAAATTAATTTTACATAATGCAAAAAATACGAAATATATTACTCCATATCTTGTTGCAACCATCTCTATACAAGAACGTCGTTAACAAATCATCACTGGCTTATAATTTATTCACAAATCAACAAAAATAAACTTAATAAATAAATTCCAAATTACAGTGCATCAAGATTGTATCATATTTCAAAGTTCGATAGTATCATTATTTAAATAAAAGTGTTCCGTACTCGTTTATGGTTGGTATAAATTATAGCATCAATTAATTAATTCAAGCGTTAACTGGTTGTTTATAACATACATTTTTATGAAACATCATAAGCATACTTAAACTATTGTTATATCTTAACTATTAATGTAATTATAACAAATAAAGAAAAAATATCCTTCAATAAAAATAAGAACAAAATTGAAAACATTAATTCCTCTTAACTAGTAGCTCTGCATTTTAAATAGTAAAGGATGTTAGATTTTTTATTTTATAACCGATTTACTTAAAATATAAAATAAAGTACCTAATAGCGGAATGTTCTCGAAAGCTGCGTTCACCAGGGCATAACTTACTGACCAAAGAGTTTAAACGTTTAAAGACTCGCTGCGCCAACTTAGCCGGATATATCTAAGTTTTATTGCCTCACTTTTCTTGCTCCTACTAAGTTACTGAGCATTATTATTCTAAGCATAGGACATAATGGGTTGCCTAAAATACACCCGCAATGCATATAATATATTCATTTCACGTGTACAAACGGGTACAAAATCTACAGCAGTCTACTGTAGATTTTGTATTTGTTCATTAGAATTAGAAATTTAACGCTTTATTGTTCGATTTTCAGACACAACATTAAGACAATAGCAATGACCTATAAATGTAGTATACGGGACAGCTAAAGGGTTAAAAAAATATTAAATAAAATTTAACCCTACATTACTACTCATGTTTCGACGTACAAAGAAACTACTCATACGCCCGCGAGGCGCATCATATTGACTAATGATTTTATTCAAAACCTATAAGTATGATTGATATATTTGACTGTTTATATAAGTGTGTATATTACTAAAAAGAGAAAAACACAATTTTAAACAATATTTATATATTTTTAATATAAAATCTTTAATGAAATAGATCTTAGGAACAAATTTTAGGAACTCAGACAAATAAACAGTCTTCTCATTAAAAATTTAAAAAAAATTAAAGTATACACTTCGCTTAAAAAACAGTAAATTATGAAGTAATTAACTAAAAAAAAAACTAACAAAGTAACAAAAAAATATTTTAGATGCATTCAATACATACATGAACTTGATGTTCGCCGCAGATAGATTTTTGACACTTGGCGCATGTCATTTTTGAAAATCCTCTTCTTTTTAGATGTACAATAAGAGTAATACCTTCTTTTTTTTGGCGGTGGTGGACCCTCATATTCTACAGAAGAGTTATCGGAAGGTTTTTTCAGGATGACTTCAATAATATCACGGATATTACGTTTCAACTTAGGTGCTTCTAGTCTTTATTGCATCCATTCAGTAGTCAACTGCGTGCTAAGTTTTTTCATAAATTGTCTTTGACTCAGGGATTTTTCATTTTTTGTTGATATATTATGACAATATATAACATACGAATTCACGAAAGATATATTTAGCATGTCATACAAAATAACCATTGGCCATCGGTTAGTCTTTCTAGAGCATGACATAGATGAAGTCATTTGGTCCAATGTATCTACACCACCATTGGTCTGGTTGTAGAACATGATCATCTCCGGCTTTCCAGTTTCATTATTTATGATCCCTTTTTCGTCGCACTAAGATAACAGGAACACCATTTTAGCTGATTTTGGTTTGTAGGAAACCAAAGTCAAAGGGACATCATAGGCGAACATGGATGTACCAACAGGTCGACGCCGGGTGTTTTTCATTTCTTGAGGAATTTCCCGTTTGTTAGATCTTAGCGTACCAACGATCGTGAGTTTGTATGGTTCAGCAAGTAGTGCTTTGGCCAGCGATACAGACGTGAACCAATTATCACATGTCACGTTACGATTAGTACCATGTATAGGACGGCTCAATTCCTTTAAGTAGTACTCTCCTTGAGGTAATCCTCCGGTGTCGGTGGCTCTTCCAATGTATGGCAAAGCGTTAACCATATATTTCGTACCATTGTCACACATCATAGGTATTTTGATCCCGTACTTGTTGGGTTTATTCGGAATGTACATTCGAAAGGGACACCCTAGAAATCCAACCAACTGTTCATCAACTGTAAGGTAGTTTCCCGGTGTGTAGTTACACTTGCACTGCTGTATAAACATCTCCCATATCTTCCTGACTGGTATAAAAGGATCTTCTTGACGAAGGGCAGGACGCAAAGTCTTGTCATCCATTCTCAAACAACGCGTGAGAAAGTTGAAACGCTCCCTGCTCATCACTGCTAAATACCTAGACCCTGAAAAAGTGCTATCAAATAGATCAGTTGCAGTTAGGTGATTATCTTTCATTGCAGCAGTTAGCGTCAAAATACCAAAATAGGTTCTAACTTCTATGGAGCATGTATCTCTGCAGGTAGCGTGGGTATTTACAGGAGGTCTTTTTCTAGATATTTCCACATTTGTCCACTTCACGATCTCACCAACAATGTCTTCCGTGATAAATAAATCAAAACACAAACTAGGCTCAAAGATATTTCTACACATCCTAGTTGGGCATCTAGAAGTGTGCACAATGTTTCTAGCAGTGGTCCTACCTCGACTTTCACCTTTAGAAGTAGACCAACAGTGCTTTTGTGTGTGCAGTGTTTTTGCCCTTCAATGTTCGACTCGCCGGGACTAGGATACGGTGATCAGAACTGGATGGCTCCAAAGTCTCACTACTTTCTGGGACAAAAGATGGCACAGATTCTTCAGCTCTACTTTCGTCTTCAATGTATCCTTCTTCTACATCGTCCTGAGCATCTTTATCGCTTACGTGATCTTCAATTTCAGAGTCATCTACCGAAAAGTTATCATCACTGGTATGGTCGCTTTCTTCTAGCCAATCGGCTATCATATCATCCGTAACTCTTCTATTACTAGTCATGATGTTGAAGTTTTAAAAAGTACCTAAAAATATAAAACACACCGGTAGTAACTAATAATGTAAAAAAAAAAAAACACTAACAAACTACTACTCATACGTCTTTGAAGCGCCAAGGGTAGTAATATCAAAAAAAACTAGCACAATTACAGTAATGCAATCACCGTCCTGCGACACGTGCTGTCGACGACTGAGAAGTCCTTGAACGTGAATGCCATACGCGCGAAAGATAAAAAGAGGGAGCAATATATCAAAACCGCGGGCGCCTCTGCGACGTAGAATAGTAATCTAGGGTTAATGAATAAATAGTTTTGATTTTGACTCTGACGTGTCCAATGCCTGTGACGTACTCCGCTGATGGGTTTCAATTTTTGGTTTAAGATAATTCTTCTGGCAACAGCACACACATACGGCCACCAAGCCAACTGGTTACGATGATGGATGTGAAGTATTGCTGGGTAGTAAAGCAGAACCTCGGTGTCGGATGGCAGCACAAATGCCTTCGCGTCTAGTGCCGGCTCGAGACGCGACATACCGACGTCCAGTCATCAGCCTTTACTTTACTTTGTTTGTATCATCTCTTTTACGGGTGTCAATTAACGGAAACACATAGACCCGCACCATTTCGTATGGTGCGGCCATGTACAAACGGGACTTTGCACGGCGCGGCGTTAACACCTCTCGGCATTGCGCTGGTGTAGTTGAGTGTTTTTTGTTTAGTCTTAAATATTTTTTCTTTATTTTTCTCTTTGTTATTTGTATTACTAAATAGTATTGTATTATAATTGTCAAATTTGTATGTGCCCAGTTAAATACATGGTTTTAGGATACCTATTGATTTTATAATTAGAAGTCGATGTGTTTACATATTAAGAAAAAGCCGTGGAGAAGAGTTCTGGAAACCATCCAGAACCACAGTGATATGCTCTGAACATTTTCGTGAAAAAGACGTGTATTTTGCAAATAATCAAGTCCGTCGAAGAATGAAAAAGAAAGCCGTATCGAAAAATCTATGTTTTATTACGTACAGGTTCAAATATTAAAATTTTAAAATAGTTACCATCGTTAGTATATGTAAGATACCATCGTTAGTTACCATTGCTAGTGTATTTAAGATACACTAGCGATGGTAACTGTGTGGTAAGAGCGGCGAACTGTTAACTTGAAGTACCGCAGTTCGTTTTCGAGGGCATTGCCTATAAGATTTATACTTCTTACTTAAGATGAGGACTATTATGATGATTTAAATGTTTACAATTCTATTTTGACTACAGGCATTATTTTATCATCAGTGAAATCTGACGAAAGTGATATCACTGATAAAGACGTTCTAATGACGATGGAATATTACAGAAGCCTATGAATTTGGTAAGTTTTTTGTTATGATACCTACAGCAAATAATAAGTGAGCGTTATGCTAGTCTGATTCATGTATATTAGAGTAATATTAATTTAACATTAATACATAACAGAATCTATTATTAAAAATATAATTCCGTTAACAATTATGTTTTCTTTACTTATTTATGCGCTATTTAAAATCCGGAGAATTATTACTTGATTATCCATAGTATAATTATATATCGTTTTACTATTACTACTGATATTATCGCTTTTTTATCACCGTTGAATCTATATACCTACTTTACTTGTGATTTCAGAATACTCCCACATCAAATGAAGAGCCTAAAATTTCCTCCTCTATAATATGCATAAATTGGTGCATGTTATAGAGGAGTACTGCATTTAGTGTGCACTGATACTTTGTCTCCTTTTATCAGTTGCGTATCTCATAAAGATTTGGCTAATAAAACAGCGAAATCTAAAAATAAAATTGGAATAAATGAAGAGTTTTCAGATACAGATTCTATATTTGACACTCCTAAAAAGCAAAGCTGAGAAGAGAATTACTCAGAAAAATTCGTATCCAAAAGAAATATTATCTAAAAATGCAATCGCTTAGAAGAAAAAATCTACATTACATTAATTAATTAATTAATTACATTTACATTGTTACATTAAAAAAGAGAGATAAATAGACAATGATACGCATAACGTTCTGAAGAGTACCGTATTTGCTGCCGACTTATCCGCTTCAATGAAAACAAAAAAGTTACAGAAAAAATCTAAGAGACCTGTATCTAAATATGCACCAGATATTAGGAACTTTTGTGTAACTTTGCATTTTCTGTTACCAAATATATACAGTATGTAACAAAAACCCCTTTGGTCGTTTCAGGGACGTTTAGGTGTACACCGAGACGTGGACATTATGATAACGAATTATTTTTGGTTTCTATAAATAGAACTTTAGAGTTTCTTATCAGATAACTTACGAAATTTTACATATCTAAAATGTTATTTGCTTCTAAACGTACCGGACACGTGCCGAGATATTATTATCTACGGCCGCTGTGAGGTCACTGATACGGCTGCCACAAAGCAAGCCGCTGCGCGGTGAGCGCCTTCAAGGTTTTTGTGTAAATGGTTATACCTATTTAGACACAGTTATTCTCCGAAAATTTAAATTTAATATTAATAGAAATTATAGCGGCATATATTTTTTTTAATAATGTGTTGGCAGTTTATGAATATTCCATTTCCCTTCTTGAATACCCAATTATATTTGATATGTTAATATTTATTTTATATTTTATAATATCTCACTAATATCATTTTACGAAGTCACTCAACGAAGAAAATTCTTAGACCCCCTAGGTAGATGACGATGTTTTGACGTGATCTAACAGTTTCTGAAATTATATTCATTTAAATTTATCAAAGTCAACTACTGAACATAGGCCTCTCCACAAATATTCTCGTAATACCCCCCCGTATTTGCCATACTTTCCACTTTTGGCAGGCGGGTTGGCAACCGTAATTTTTTTTATTTTAGATCTAGTTGTTGTTAAAAAGATGCTGTGAAGATGGAGCCACACCCAGGACGATTTGGGCTAGTTGATATTCTTTCAACGCCAATACACATTGTTATTTGAATTACACAGATCATAAACTTTGACTTTCAATTAACAGAGATATTTTTTAAATAAATTCATTTTACTACAATCTAATAAGCAAAACAAAATTACAATAAAATATGCGGCGTTTCGCGCGCTAAACAAAACTTAAAACCGTTAGCCGACGGAGGACTTAGGTATAGGAAAAACCCAGAAACCCAATTCGGGTGATCAAGCGTCCGAGCGATCATAGCGTCCACTATATGTCGACTAACTTATTTTGATCTACTTATTTTGATCTACCTAATATCTATTTATTATACTGTGCTCCATAGACCATATACATACTCTTCGATAAATTGTACAGAAGTCCGAGGAGTACACTTTGCCACTATGTCTGGCGTATGTGGACTATGAGAAAGCCTTTCATTCCTTCGAAATTGGGCGGTGCTGAAGTCTCTTGAGCGGTGCCAAGTTGACTGTCGGCATATCGAAGTGCTGAAGTACTTATACTGTAGGGCTACGATGGCTATCCGAGTACAGAACCAGAGTACGAAACCTATCCAATTGCAGACAGGTTAAGACAGGGTGACGTTATATCCCCGAAACTTTTCACAACAAAGATCATGTTTAATGTCAATGTCAACACTTATGCCGGTTGTTGTTGGGAGCACTAAGCCTGAAGTTGTTGATGAGTATCTTTAGCACAAATAACATAAAATTGTTGGACTTACCTAGTCGGACTTTTTGTTTGGGACAAATAGTCCAACTAGATAACCAACTTCGACCGAGAGGTCAATCGACGGATTCAACTCGGTTGGGAGGCGTTTGGGAAATCACGGCACATCTTTTTTTATTTATAGGATAAGGGTGACAAACGAGCACACATTCCCCCTGATGGTAAGTGGTTGCTGCGGCCCAAAGACATCTACATCAATCCTTTATTACAAATCAAAATGTAGATGCGTTGTCACCCGTGAGGACTAAGATGGAATGCCTTTTTTCCAGTAAAAAGGGCCTCCGGCCACCTGCACTCACCAAGCGAAACGCAGAGGTAAACCTCTACTTCACGCTGGTTTTCTGTGAGGTCGTGGTACCACCCCGGTTCGAGCCGGCTCATCCGTGCGACAGCAAAAGCTGCCGCATGGCTCTACCACTGTTGAAACGTCTAGGTAAGTCCGACATCTTCACGTTTTTGCACAATTTTTAAAAAATTTTTTGTTATTGTAGTGTTTTAAATGTATTTTCTAATCCCTAGCTATAATTTTATTTCTTAATATCACTTACGGGCTCTGCCTGAAGAAATAAAAAAATAATAACTATTATTAAAAATTACATCAAAAATCACCAAAAATTTCCTAGATTCAGAAAAGATCGAAAAAATTGTTAAATCCGATTGGGCATGCTCTAAGCGCATTAAAAAAATTACGTAAAACATGATTATACAGAATTTTTTAAAGTAGTTTAAATACATTTCGACAGCACTATCGGCTTCAACCCCTCGAACATCATGAAAATACACCCATGATGAAAAAATTGATACCTACTGCAGCCGCCATCTTGGATTTACATTTCGACAGCACTATCGGCTTCAACACCCTTGAAAACCATGAAAATGACACCCATGATGAAAAAAATGATATCTATTGCAGCCGCCATCTTGG